CACCTGTGTAAATCTATTAATAAATATAGAAAGATTTTCATTTTAATAACAGCGCCTCAACTTCAATTACCTCCTACGAAGTGTTTCGATGTCAGAAGGAATAAAATCTCAGAAACAAAGGAAGGCGCGAGACACCGTCGAAGATACGCGTCGGTACAAAGGCGACGCCATTATTGACTTATTACATAGCTGTTGGTAACGGACCAATCAACATGTCGGACATTTTGACGTCACAATCGAGACATAATCAATATCACACCTGCTCCTCCTCTCCGATTCTCTCTCTCTCTCTCCCCCTCACGCACGCACGCACGCACATACACACGCAGGAACGCTTTTCAAAGCTAGAGACCGAATCGCCATTTTATGAAGCCATAATTATTTCAAACAAAATATTTGGAAGCTGCAGCGTCGAAGAGGCCTGTTTCCTCAAATTAAATTTCGTTTCACTTTACCTAACAAACACGACACGATAAACCACTGTCAGATTACAAAAAAAGACACTTCTGCATCTGTCATTTAACACGACGTCAGTCAAAACGCCCAAGAGCCGAGGAACTGGACGTTACCTCGACAACGCAAAGACGACAAGAACCCGTACAGCCGGCGACTGTAATCTTGAGACTTGGAAGGAATGCAGGAGGTCCGTAGCGTCGGAGGCACTTCCTCGCCCCGCAAGTCCCAATATTACAGTCGCGAGCTGTAAGTCTGTCGACGAGTGTCGACAAAGACGTGCCCGATGATGCGTTCAGACGGACGGCATCGCGAGAGGAAGGCAGAAGGACTCAGAAACTCGAATGTTGACTCACTGATGCCGAGTACAATTCGTTTTTCAACAACTGACTAAATTAAAAGCTGCAGGACTTTCAAAATCGCGTACGCTTAAACTGAATTTGACTTCGCGAGGCCCCCAGGCAATTAAGTTGTCCGGGCCCAACAACTCCATAAAACAGAGGACCGTCGCGAACACCACCACGTGCGATTTCCACCTGTTTATACACCTCACGCTCGTTTTTACTCTGACCTCGCACACGGCTCGCCCTTTGAGGGTGACTGGAGAGGTTAACTATTAGGGCTCTGAAGCTTTTTTATCCCCATATTTTTATTAGTTTTCTTTGTGGAGCGACAAAATGCCGATAGAATGGACCGCGACCCTATTCAGAAAACTCTGTTGTATACCTGCACCAAAACACACAAAAAGTGGAGAAACATTTTATGTAACCAAACCCGAGTACAACTGATCTCTTGACGTGTAAAATTACCACGCTTCTTTATAACACGGGGAACTCGCGTATCGGGTGGTCCACAAGTCACACGTCATTTCGTCTTTGATGTAATATTAGGCAAAACCTGACTCTGGATGCTCAGATCGCAAATGTCGCAAGCGGAAATTCTAGGACCGCCCCCTACGGCGCCCGTAACTCAGGATCTTCGCTGAACACAGCTTCGTATTCGGGAGGTCCCAAGTTTAAACCTCGACCACATATCGGCTGAAGTTCTTCGTGGTTTTCCTCAGCACTATAAGGCAACCACTTTAAATTAGGCCACTACCACTTCCTTCTCCGTCTTTTCAAATTCAGTGTTCATCAGTTATCCGATCGCGCGGCGGAACACAGTCTGAGCTGACTGCGTCGTTAAACAACAAAACATTGACAGTGTTCATCCAGCATTCTGTCAGGTTTTGCACGATCAAATTCGGTGTATAATAGGCAAGACTCTAACATATTACAAACATGGCGACGACGCGAAAAACCGCGCGGTCACATCCGACAAAGTCGATGTTACGAGATCCTACATAAGAAGGCGTTCACAATGACGACATAATCTGCAAGAAATTTCAAATCGTGAACAACAGAAGCGTATTTGCTCGACCAGAATACGTCCAGCATCTTCGTACTTTATTACTGGACTGCAAAGTAAACACGGCATTAGGAGCACAAGCTCTGCAGTGCTGGGAGTGTCTGGGGAAAAACGCAGGCTCTGGGATCTTCCCGGGCCTCCTTAGAACGAGGGCAATGCGTCACGTTAAATTTGCGACACACGGAGTCAGAGATTCATGGATCGGCCAGTAGACGCCATGTTTGTTCTCTCCGCCGACTGATCGCTCGAGAGAGGGAGTGCCGATGATCAATAACGGTCCATCACCGCCTGGGACTGCGCGCATCTGCGAAGCCAAGTCGCCAGGATCATCACCAAGTCTTCGCGCCTGCATGGACAAATCCTTTCGTGGCCCTATTCAACGCCAGCGACGACAAACCACGGTCGTACAGCAATTTGAGAAGAGAATGAGCATTTCGTCCGTGGCGTCACTTTTGTCTGTGCCTGTACTGGTCAAAGAAAGTGGCCTAACGTATTCCAAACGGACGAAAACCTAAGCTAATCGGAATTTGTAAAATAATTTCTTCGAAGTCCGTGTCACGTTATTGTTATTATTACAACTGCTACTAACCCTTTAAATAATAGTGGTAACTTTGTGTACCACAAGGGTCAACACTAAATTGCACTTCGCCCACAGATTGTATTTATGTGTCCGCACGATTCTTTCAGCAAACAGCGATTATTTCCTTGAAAAGCATTAACTAGCTGAACGTTGTCATGGAGATGTTTTCTTTGCGGTACGGACTATATTCTCAAAAACACTTTTGATGAACTTCAGTTTCGAAGTTAATATTAACTGCCTGGTAGAGGAAAGCAACAGACAAGCCGCTGTGGGAGACGCCGAGAGCTTCGTAAAAATTCTTCTTAATCTTATCGGGCCGTTTCCTCCTTGGTCCTCTTACGACAGATTATCTGATGATGATTCCGAGTGCATGTCTCCCACATCCCAGCGGAGGAAACTGAACAAAAATTTCCGGGCGGCAAGCGGCTGATCCTCAGGTCGACGAGGTAAGGCACGGGGACAGTGGAATCGAATGAACGGCAACCGCGAGGTTCTTCGCCCCAGCCGGCGTCTCCTCTTACCTGCTCTGCACACCGTTAAATGCCTTCCCTTAGTCGTCGACGTCCGTCTACAGCAAATCCCAACGCTCATCTGCAGAGCAGAGCTGCCTCTGGAGAAGCTTAATTACGTAGCAAAAGAGGGGCCTCTGGTGAAAACGAGGTTCTGACTGTCATCGATCGACGGTCACTAACAGCAAATTCATAATTTTTCTAGACTTTATAACGTAAGCGAGATCTGGACCTACTATTCAATGTAACAGATTTCTAATGAAGGCAGTTGCTAGGGACGTAACTTCTGGGTGTGTAACGAAAACCGCGTGACAGTAACCTGGAGAAAGGCGCAAAATGAGGAGCTGCATAGTTTTTACTCAGTACCAAATATTAGGGTGATAAGTCGAACGATGACTGGGTGGACAGGACATGTAGCACGCACGGCGGAATTTTTATAATCACTCAAGGATGGGAGAATTTGAAATGGAACAATAAAGAGAAGTGAACCTTCCGATTGCATAAAGGGAGGGGGATTTCTTGACTAGCTGAGCGACTACCAGCTTCTCCGGGGACATCTGACCGGCAAATTCACTCTGAAAAACTACGATTCATAAAACGTCGCCTGACATTCGACTGGAAAATTACTTTCTCGCACTGAACAAAACTTAAAATACTAAAAACATTTCCGCAGAAATACACGAATTTTTCATGAGGACGCGTTCCTACGAAGAACACGTAGTTCACGGAAAACGTGGAACGCAGATGATACCAAGAAATCTAATCAAGGTTCAGATTTTCCGTGATAAAGGAGCGTCCAAATACGACTCACCGTTTTCCTTCGGCGTCTGTCCTTCGTCCAGTCCTCCGTTCTCTTCTTTATCTTCCTCTGTCATTGCGCCAGCCATCGCCTCTCCTCTCCTCACTGAAAACAATTGAACGCGCAGGCTTAGAATCCGCAGCTTCGCTGTCGCTCACCGACTGAAAGGAATTCTCGTGTACCTGAAGCTTTGAAGTTGGATTCGTCCCTTTCAAGGTTAGCGCAGATCCACCATGGTCGCGGAAAACTACCCTCCCCGTGCGAGGTTTACCGACGTCTGCGAGGGTCCGGGGGCTGACCAGCCGACTTTGGTCAATTGGGTAAGTACCAACAATGAAAAGCCCGCGCAGAAACCCCAGTCAGAGTTAACTTGAGAGTGCTTAGAGTCTAATAGAACACGACCGGAACCTATCCGCGTTGTTCGCCGATTCGAATGTTCTTTGAAGATCGTTCTCCAAAAACACAGCCAATGCGAAAATATGTTCTGGTGTCGACATTAAGCACCTCCACTCCCCATGGACTTCCTTGCTTATCCTACAATTGCGACAAGCGTTGTTGATCGCCTGTATGTTAAATGGGCCATGGCCGATTTTACTACACTTGATGTGACGCGACCTCAGCAGTTGATTGCGCATCGTAAAACAACAGAGAGAACAAATCTCAACTGCGTTTCTAGTTCGAAGAGAGAGAGAGACATGCGACATCTTCAGTGACCCAAAACTGAGCTCCCTTGCTTCGCGCTTCGGTCGGCTTAACCCTCGCCATTCTGAACGCAGCGGCGATCAAAAGAACCTCCCGCTCCATTTCACTGCGTCACGGGTAGACAGGAACTTAGCAATGCAGACACGGACACAGAACGTGAGAGTGTCAGTGGATTAATCTGGCTCAGGATAGAGCTCGTAAAGGGCCTTCAGGTTCCATAGAAATCGGACAATTTACGAAACAGCTGAGTCACTACCAGCTTCTCAAGAGGTATTGTTCTCCACGTGGGGGGACATCTGACCGGCAAATTCACTCTGAAAAACTACGATTCATAAAACGTCGCCTGACATTCGACTGGAAAATTACTTTCTCGCACTGAACAAAACTTAAAATACTAAAAACATTTCCGCAGAAATACACGAATTTTTCATGAGGACGCGTTCCTACGAAGAACACGTAGTTCACGGAAAACGTGGAACGCAGATGATACCAAGAAATCTAATCAAGGTTCAGATTTTCCGTGATAAAGGAGCGTCCAAATACGACTCACCGTTTTCCTTCGGCGTCTGTCCTTCGTCCAGTCCTCCGTTCTCTTCTTTATCTTCCTCTGTCATTGCGCCAGCCATCGCCTCTCCTCTCCTCACTGAAAACAATTGAACGCGCAGGCTTAGAATCCGCAGCTTCGCTGTCGCTCACCGACTGAAAGGAATTCTCGTGTACCTGAAGCTTTGAAGTTGGATTCGTCCCTTTCAAGGTTAGCGCAGATCCACCATGGTCGCGGAAAACTACCCTCCCCGTGCGAGGTTTACCGACGTCTGCGAGGGTCCGGGGGCTGACCAGCCGACTTTGGTCAATTGGGTAAGTACCAACAATGAAAAGCCCGCGCAGAAACCCCAGTCAGAGTTAACTTGAGAGTGCTTAGAGTCTAATAGAACACGACCGGAACCTATCCGCGTTGTTCGCCGATTCGAATGTTCTTTGAAGATCGTTCTCCAAAAACACAGCCAATGCGAAAATATGTTCTGGTGTCGACATTAAGCACCTCCACTCCCCATGGACTTCCTTGCTTATCCTACAATTGCGACAAGCGTTGTTGATCGCCTGTATGTTAAATGGGCCATGGCCGATTTTACTACACTTGATGTGACGCGACCTCAGCAGTTGATTGCGCATCGTAAAACAACAGAGAGAACAAATCTCAACTGCGTTTCTAGTTCGAAGAGAGAGAGAGACATGCGACATCTTCAGTGACCCAAAACTGAGCTCCCTTGCTTCGCGCTTCGGTCGGCTTAACCCTCGCCATTCTGAACGCAGCGGCGATCAAAAGAACCTCCCGCTCCATTTCACTGCGTCACGGGTAGACAGGAACTTAGCAATGCAGACACGGACACAGAACGTGAGAGTGTCAGTGGATTAATCTGGCTCAGGATAGAGCTCGTAAAGGGCCTTCAGGTTCCATAGAAATCGGACAATTTACGAAACAGCTGAGTCACTACCAGCTTCTCAAGAGGTATTGTTCTCCACGTGGTTACTCAGTGACTAGAAGATAATACGGAGGGTAGACGGGACGAAGTGGTCAGTGGCCGAGTTTCTTCGTGGACTGACTGTACCTGCCGATAATAAGAGCCAGGGATTTCCAGAAATAAGGCTCTGGCCCGAACAGAGAAGCTTCTTTGCGAAGGTAAAAACAGATGCGAGGCGACGGACATTGGCTGTACCGGTCAACAGGAGGGCGAGGTTCACCTGGGTGGAAAAATCCCTTGCGACCCCCATCCCACCCTGTCACAGCAGCTGACCGAAGCCACCCACCATCTCACCACAATGGCTTTTTGAAATTTCAGCAGAACTACCCCTCCACCGCCATATTGTAAAATGCGAACACAGCAAGAATTTTGGGCAAGAGTACAAGCAGTGGTAATTAAAATGGCCGCATTCGCTGGTCGGTATCACAGGGCTACTCAACTAAACTTCGTTTTAACCCCTTGCAACCAAAATATATATATAAATAATACTTAAGAATTCAGTCCGTACCGCGAAGAAAACACAACCCTTCACCGTTACGAAGATCAACTGGTTAACGCCGTTTAAGGAAATAATCGCTGTTAATTCTGAGAATCATACGAAACGCATAAATACAAAATGCAGGTTAATTATTAAAGAAATGGTACATGGCTTTAATTGGATTGAGTAAGGACTTTCACATGAACATCCAGGACTTCTCCAACACTTCAACAGGATTTATGAAGCACTTCTCCAGGACCAAAGAAATTCCGCATAAACTCTCCAGGACTTCTCAGGCACTACCATAGAATTTCTACAGGACTATTCCAAAAATTTTCCAGGACGTCTCCAGAACATTCACACGACCACTCGATGAACACAAGAGACTTTCTAAATGACAGAACCTAACCCATCGTAAAATAACAACCTAACCTAACCCAACCTAAACCAAAACGCTACCTAATCCAATGTAACTTATCCCAATCAAGCTTAAACGAATCCAAAACAACCGGCCTGCATTGTTCAAACCCACCACTGCTTACGGACTTCGAAATAACCTCCCAGGACTCCTCCAGGATTTCTCTATGAAAGAAATTCCGCATAAACTCTCCAGGACTTCACCAGGAACTTTCCTGGAATTCTCCAGCACTTCTCCAGGACACAACCTAACCCATCGTATAACAACGTTATATAACCTAATCCTAACTTATCCTTCTAAGGAATCTGAAGGGTTTGGTTTAGTGGTGATTGAAGGGAAAACGAAATATATGGTCATGCCCGCATCACGTGTCTAGGGAATACCACGAAATATCAACATTTGAAGGGGTGAGTCAGTTCAGGTATTTAGGAGCTCTGGCCAAAAGCCAAAACGAAATAAGATAGGATACAGAATGGAAATATCGTAGAGCATTTTATGCTAACCTAAAACTTCTTAGAAACACCAAAGCGATCAGTCGTCACGTACGGATCGGAAACGTGGACATTAAAAGCCGGAGATGAGAATGCGCTGAGATGTTTTGAGAGAAAAATCTTACGGAGAATATCTGGACCGGTCCAAGATACAAATGGCTGGAGAATAAGATATAACCAGGAGCTTGACAGATTGATAGAGGGTCAGGACATAGTGGGATTCATCAAGGCTCAGAGACTGAGGTGGCTGGGCCACGTAGAACGAATGCCAAAAAGAATTCTGAAAGGAAGACTTGATAACAGAAGAAGGAGGTGGATAGAAGATGTGACTGAGGACCTGACGATAATGGAAATTAGAGGACGGAGGATAAAAGCAGCGGATAGAGAAGTCTAGAGGACAGTTGTCAATGAGGCCAACGCTACCTAATCCAATGTAACTTATCCCAATCAAGCTTAAACGAATCCAAAACAACCGGCCTGCATTGTTCAAACCCACCACTGCTTACGGACTTCGAAATAACCTCCCAGGACTCCTCCAGGATTTCTCTATGAAAGAAATTCCGCATAAACTCTCCAGGACTTCACCAGGAACTTTCCTGGAATTCTCCAGCACTTCTCCAGGACACAACCTAACCCATCGTATAACAACGTTATATAACCTAATCCTAACTTATCCTTCTAAGGAATCTGAAGGGTTTGGTTTAGTGGTGATTGAAGGGAAAACGAAATATATGGTCATGCCCGCATCACGTGTCTAGGGAATACCACGAAATATCAACATTTGAAGGGGTGAGTCAGTTCAGGTATTTAGGAGCTCTGGCCAAAAGCCAAAACGAAATAAGATAGGATACAGAATGGAAATATCGTAGAGCATTTTATGCTAACCTAAAACTTCTTAGAAACACCAAAGCGATCAGTCGTCACGTACGGATCGGAAACGTGGACATTAAAAGCCGGAGATGAGAATGCGCTGAGATGTTTTGAGAGAAAAATCTTACGGAGAATATCTGGACCGGTCCAAGATACAAATGGCTGGAGAATAAGATATAACCAGGAGCTTGACAGATTGATAGAGGGTCAGGACATAGTGGGATTCATCAAGGCTCAGAGACTGAGGTGGCTGGGCCACGTAGAACGAATGCCAAAAAGAATTCTGAAAGGAAGACTTGATAACAGAAGAAGGAGGTGGATAGAAGATGTGACTGAGGACCTGACGATAATGGAAATTAGAGGACGGAGGATAAAAGCAGCGGATAGAGAAGTCTAGAGGACAGTTGTCAATGAGGCCAAAACTCACCAAGGGTTGTATCCCATTTAAACTTAAACGGATCCAAAATAACCCACCCACAACCACTTAAGGACTTCCACATAACCTTCCAGGACTTATTCAGAAGTTCTCCAGGACACAACCTAACCCAGCATAATGTTGCACAACCTTATCTAACGTAACCTAAAAAAACCTAACACAATTCGGGTTATCATTGCAGCAGAAACAGGAAGCTTGCACATTTACAGTTCACGAATCGCTGTCCCTCGGATCAAACTTTGGGTCAACTTAATTTTTGATGTAGGCAGCAAGCATCCCTGAAACGTCGGTACACTTCTACCAGATGAGCCCGACAAATGTAAATTACACCCTCCAAGTCCTATTTCTATAAGATCCATTTTAATATTATCCTCCACCGACATCTTTACCTTTGACTATAATAATTCAACAAGTCAAAAACTGTAGAGAATGAACAGTTGGTTTAACGTCGTTGCAATCGACTGCTTGAGTCATCTTCTGCTGACACTGGTTGAGGAATCTCGCAAGCCGCCTAATGACGGGTCACGCGCAAGGTCACGGAATTTGATAGGAAAACCGCAGAAGAGGAAACAGCTGCCGGCAAATCGTAGCCCACCGGACGGGCACCTGTCGTGACACACGCGTTTTAATTAATCGGACTCAGCGGGCCCGAGGGCATCGCCGCTCCGAGCCTTCCAGACGTCTGCGGCCTTCAGAGGGGCGCACACACCACCTCGTTCGGATCGAAACTTGCCTAAGGTTCAAATTAAACAATTTGAGGCGGCGAGAATCAAGGAACTGCTCGCATGCAACCCGGGATCGGATTTCCGTGAAATTTGGTACGTCCGGTTTACGCCACGGCACATTCCACACATCCGTAACCTGGAAAACAGCCAGATTCCAGCCCCGGCCGCTTTGCCCGCAGGATAAACTCCTTCAGTACCGACTACACAGCAGCCGAAGTGTCCGAGCTCTGGTCAGCGGCTTCAGAGCCCCGGAAGACGTTCGATAATCCCGTATTTCTGCCTGCTACTGCCCTCCAGTTCGTTGGCAGGCTTCGCCGCATCGAACTTCCCGAGAACAATAATATCATTCGATTCTTCGAACGGACAGGAAGTAATGAGACAGCTTTTCGAGCTGAGCTCCCCGCGCGCCGCCTGACATCAACGCCGTCCACATACGGAAGAATCACGTCCAAGGACTTCCACGTTCTGCGAGCGATCGCCCGTCGGTTCACACACAGAAGCTGGCGGTCGCACATCTGATCAAGAAATTCCCCGTCTCCTGTGGAACCCGAAGGTCCAGAAACGAATTCACGAGAGAATCCACGCCCTTTGCTCCGAAACTATGACAAATTGTTTGCACACGTCGTATGACTCCTTGGATGGGGGATCGGCTCATCGCATCTGCTACGAGTGAGATTCGGACCGGCGATGTGAGGTACCGCT